TATTACAGAAGGGCTTTGCCTTAGTGACCAGACACGGTTAAGCAGATAATTGCCCATGGTTGTTCTTGCCCACTGCTTAGATCATGGCTGCTTCTGCTCTAAATCGTGGCACCCTCTACAGTCCGTGGGTCTTTTCCAAAAGATAAACAGTCAAATTCATTGACTAATGTAACAAACTAATTTTCCTCAGAATGTTACTGTTAAACAGACATTATACTACAGGTGGCATAAGTTCACAGCATGTTACCAAACATACTGTGTTGTCCAGACAGGGTAAGAGGTTCTTTATCAGTTGGAAACAACTGAAAAGCTAAATTTCAGCATCACTAATGCACAGACCAACTGATTTGCTCCATAGCTAGAAAGTTCACCAGTCAACTGCAGTGTTTTTATTCAAGGTTGAGCCTCCATCCATACAGGTTGTCTGAGATTTTTGTTTTTCCCTTTTTTTTGTTGTTGTGTGTTTTGGGTTTTTGGTTTTGGTTTTGGTTTTTTTTGTTTTTTGTTTTGTTTTTTTTTTTGAGGAATGGGCTGTGTGAACTTTGTATTGTCTGCTTTGGATTCATACTCTGGTAATATTTCTAAGCAGTGCACAAATCATAGTGTAGTGTGGTGTTGTCCATGATTTATTCAACTTTTTCCTCTAACAGCGACCCACAATCAGCAGCACAGTACTGAGTGGAACAAAGAATGCAGCGTTCCTATAGCATTACTGCTAAGATTGTAAGATTTTAACACATTTAATAATAACAGTCTAGCCTTACATTTTATCTCCATTCTCTTATTTTTCCACTAAGCTATTAAAACAGCAGGTTTACTCTGCAACTACAATAATTTAATCTTATGGTGATTACACAAGCATATATTTATATATCTTTGGGTTTTAATCATTTTACTCCCTCCTCCTGAAACAGTTCCATGCTTTCCATATTTACTCAGTTGTAAAAATTACAGAACAAATTTATTTGTAAACAAATGACCCGGACAACAGTTCAAGACAAATGGAAAGTAACAGACAAGATACTAACGTAAATTAAATAAAACTAACTTCTACTTTAAAAATAAAACAAATTTCGTTATAGAGAATACAGAAAACTCCCCAAATTTGTCACCCAGTACAGAACTGGCAATAAGTATTAGCTAATGAACTGAAGTTGAGTCCTTGAAAGAATTCAGAACTACTGTTTCAAATGATCTCAGCACACAAACTTTCCATGTATTTATGACTGAAGCCTTGCACATAGTCTGTAATTATATTGTTTTATTGCAGCAGTTCCCTCAAATCCATGCTATGGTTATATGGGACTTGACACACCCAAGTTACCACCTAGATAACTCAAAGTGTAACCACTGTTCCAAACCTTCTTTATGACCAATTTCATGCAACAACTCTACTGATTGTAATGACTGCAGAATGAGGGGTACCCAGCACACGGCACGTGTTCTCAAGGCCAGGTTAAAATGTAGTCATAGTCATGATAGTTAAAGACTGTACAGCTGAGTGCCAGCTTGGCACTGGTATTAAATGGCTCTTAAGAATACCACTGATAGTATATTAGGGAAGCCTTTCCTACAGCACAGAGATGATGCATCTTCAGGATCGGTATCCCCCTCTACCTCTGAGGTGATAGCAATCCAGTTAAAAAAAAAAACAAACACCCAACCAACCATCAGTAAGCCAGTGGGTAGTTCCCTTCAGCAGTTCTACTTTAATGATTCATAGGAATTAGAACATTGCAACCCACCCGGTGGCTTTCACGGAGAGCTCGCTGGTCTTTCAACGAGTCTGTCCTTAGGGTTGGGGTTCGGAATGCTTTATCCGCTTTCTACACGTACTGAGCTGAAAACCATAATTTATTCAGTTCATTTAAAATACTATACACTACCATCAGTTCTTTATATAGTATGTGTGCAACACATTTAAAATAAAAACTTGTGAAAACATTTAATAAGAAAATGTAATTTTAAGTGAAATTACTGAAATAACATTTCTGCAAAGGAGTTTTGAAAAAAACTATTATTATGAAAAAACATTTCTGACCACTTCTTAAACTTGAAAATAAAGTGTAATAAAACCCTTTCTCACTACAGAAACACAAAAGAAAATGAAAACTATCGATAATTCAAAGTCAAGTATCACAATATTTACATTGCATACATATATACCAGTCTTAAGAGAGAATGTCTAGATACACATCCTTCAAGATCACATTAAATTGACAGTCCTTCAACTGCTGTTTAGAAGACAACATCATCCTGCCAAAAAGACATCCAGGTTCACATGAACTTTTTGAATCCCACAAAATCTTGGTAAAATGTACAAAAACATTCACCAAAGGAATGTAATTTAAAAAAAAACCCAACTCATTAAATAGTGAATCTGCTGACATTTTCGTCTGCAAGATTTTGAGCTAAACTGAGTGCACAAACTGAATAAAACTACAAATAACCAAATTATGACAGCTCCATTGCAAGTCACTGTAATATGAAAAATTAAGAATTATTTAATTACGCAAAATTTCAAGTTCTGCTTTTTCAACACAGTGCCCAAAGAAAAGCACATGCAGATCTAGTCATTGCCCTCAGCTAAACAAAGATATTAATGAAGAGAAATACCATGAATAAATACTGGACAGATTAAAAGAACCAAACAGAACGTCATTACCGTATGAAGCCACAGAAGCAAAGTAAATCCTTGATGGGTCAACCAAGTCTGAAGACGTTTAAAGTGAGTAATTTGTAACAGATTCCAGTATGTTATCAGAAACATGCAAAAAGTTATTAAAAAATTAACTGCTCCTACTCTTCAGAAGATAAGTTCCAAACATTTTTTGTTAAAATGTGCATTATATACGGTTTTAGATTGCATGCTTATCTGCCCACACAAAAACCAAACTGAAGTCTTACAGTTTAAATTAATATATTTCTGAATAACAAAAGTCAAAGTAAGATGGTACGGCTAGGGAGAAAAGGTCATTATGTGCATGTCTGTCTCATGTTCTACAGTGGTTTCATCCATCTTAGAAAATAAGACCGCAGTGCATGAATTGAGGACAAAAATAATTACACGCTCTGCTCACATCCTATAGCGATAGCTAAAAGAAATGTGGCTTCCTTCATTCTAAACGTTTCCTACTCTTCAGGAAAGCACAAGCATAATCCCTTTGTTCAAAACGCATTTCCAAGAGATGACAAAGATTTACTGCCAACCGACGGGTGCTGACTTCCCACTTCCAGACCTGATCATTTTCCTTTTCCCCCCTCCTCTCCCTTCTCAAACTGGCACAGGTATTCATTTGGGTCAATACAGCTTAATAATTACAAAAAATTTATATCCCACTGAACTATACTCTCACAGTAGCTGACCAGAACCTAGCTTTTTCCCGTCCCTGTTGTAACGCCCTAACATGGAATAGCACATTTCCCCTTACCTCCCAAAAGAGAAGTTGAGCAAAACTGTCCCAAATACATGTAAGTGGTTAAGAATTAACAGAGTCATCAGGCTACTTGTCATTAATATTCTCCATGTAACAACTGTAGGCTGCCAAGAGAATTACAACATATCTAAGTATTTGCTATTACATTTTAATCTTTGCACTGTATGGCTTACAAATTCATCCAGATGTGTCACAAATGAACTTCATTACTTTCAAACAGGAAAAAGACGCCAAAACCACTGAAAAATCCCAGCCCTTCCCAAAAAATAGCTCTGATATTTCGACGAACTAAAACCCAAGAGTACAGTTTAACAACTTTGCTTCCCCATTCTCAGTTAGCACCCACCTGGTATCATTCACAGTCAAAAAATTCTGGTCTGTTTCAAGTATCTACATCTTTAAATACAAGAGTTCAACACAGCAAAAAGTTCAACAGTGGTGGAGAGAACAGGTATTTCAAGCCTTTAAATTCCATAACTGGTGTGCAAAAAATGAGTTGGGGACCCTACATTTCTCATCTGAATATATCAAAAGCATCATCTCCACAGCATACCAAGAAACCACGGTCATCCAGTTCAACTACTTCAAGAACAATTACTGCACTTTGCCTAAAGCCTGTAGTCCCACAACAGCTTAAACTATTCTAAGTCAGTGCTGTCAGTCCCACCTTGATGTACGGGACTGCCTGCAATCCAGTTCATGGTTCTCAAAAGCAACAGTAAGTTTCCAGCTTTAGTTTTCAGCTGGCTTAGCACTGAAGCAGGTCATCATAGTCATTTAAATCACCAGTAATGGTCACAAGGAAGGGGGAAAGCATGCCTAGCCAGGGCTGTGCAAGTGGTACTGAACAGCAAGTGTGGACATAAACTGTCCTAAGAGCAGCCCTGGATCTGCAGCCTGAGGTATCTGAAGGAGTCAAATTTTCCGATAAGCAGTAGCACTCAGAGGCTCACTGATTTTTTTTAATACTTCAGCAATACAGATGGATACTTCCTTCCTGTACCTCCAATACAGCCTTCAGAAAAAGAGCAAAAATACTAATTTAAGAACACAAGTGATACCTTCAGGAGAAACTCAAACATGAGCTCTCAGAAATGTCCCCAGCATAGAAATAATTACAGACCCAGGCACTTAAGAGGTTGTTGAATTGCCCTTAGTGAGAATGCTGAAGAGCTGATTTGAACACCAGCAGTTGGAGGTAGCAAGTATTAGCCACTTTTTTTTTTTTTAAAGAAAATCACTATGATGAACTACCCAACACAATTTACATTTTGAAGATAAGTTCAAAAGAAAAAACTTGAACAACTACTATCACAAAAACCTTACTAATATTAAACTTGTGTATATTTACACCAATTAGGTATTGCAACAGCGCTTAACTGATGTGAAGTCTGTCAATAATCAATCAAAGCTTAAATATATTTTGCCTCACATCAAGCATATAAAGCAAATTCACAATTTAGGGAAGGGAGGGTTGAGACTCTTTCAACCAGGGTCTCCTCAAATTACAGGTGATTTGCAAAAACTACTGGAATGTTTACAAGAAGTAAAACATTTACTTGCCTCTACCTCCAAAACTGCTGGATCATGGTTGTCTCTGCTCTTAAAGGAGACCTGAAAAGCAAAAAAAAATTGGGCTTGTGCCCTATTTTGCTTCTTTAAGATGTTTAAGAGAGGCATGAAGAGTTGGAATTAGGGTTTTTATTTTATCTTGTGATGGACACAATTTATTCCTTCTTGTTTACAACTTGAGATCGAAATCCCAAGAAGCCATAACATCAGACAACCTAGTTAAAGGAAAACAATGCAAGAATCAACAAGTTAAGTCACAGAATAAAGAACAAATTTCAGTTTTCTTCCCCTCACTCCCACCTCCTTCAAGTTCTCCTTCATTTGAGTGATGAATAGCACAAAATCCCTTTCCAGGGTGAAGTATTCCTGCACTATCACTACTGGGGATTTGCACACGGTTTTATGAACATTATACGTGCTAAAAAAAGAAAAAAAATCAGTTTGAAATGTGATTGAGGTTGTATTTAAAAATTTTAAGATAAAAAGCAATTGGAAAAGAAAGCTCAAGCCCTTTTCAGGGCCTCTTTATCTTTCAAAATAGCAAAGTAAGTAGAAAACCAATTTTTAAAAGTTCTTT